TGGGGATTCGAACCTGCCACCTTAGGTGTATGTGGCTGGCGCCTTAGCCACTTGAGCCACAGGCGCCGAGCCAGAAATTTTAAAAATTATCCACCCTTGAAAAAGACATTATATCATTTAAGAAGTTAAATGATTTATGATACCCCTATAAATTTACCTTAATACATCTCCCTTCCAGGAAGTATTTACAGATTTGTTTTCCTTTGTGCTCCACTGTGTGCTGATTAATAAATTCCTGAGTCATAACCTTCCATTTCTTCCCTGGCTTACTGTACTGTAAGAAAAAAAAATTCATTTGAATCAACCTATAGAAATAGTAATAGGTATTAAATGTGTAGCTAAATGGATGTGGAAAGCAGTACTGACTATTGAAAGTGATCAAAATTGAACACTCTGATGCTATTCATTTATTTGAAGAGATATATGTTTCTAGTAATCTGCTTATTGCTACTAGTGGTTGCAAAGAAGCCTATTTCTATCTATTTTAATGAGTATACACAACTTCATTTTAAAAACAAAATTACAAAAAGCTTGAAAATTCACAGTAACACTTGGTTTTAGCAAAGGTACAATAAAATATGCACTATCATATATCATTGATAACTACATTATAAAAGACTTTAAAATATCCATACTGTTTGGCACAAAATTTTTACTTTTAAAGACTATTCTGAAGGAATAATGAGGGAGGCACACAAAAATTTAATTACAAAACAATCACTGCAGACTTACCAACACAGTAAAACAAATAAAACTAGAAATATTCTATATATCCAAAACTAACAGATGGGTCAAATACATTATGATACAATCAGGTGGCAAAATTTTATGCAGTAGTTAAGCAATCATGTGATAGATACAAAAAATATTTATAACACTTAATGAAGTGAAAAACTGACCCCAATTCTATAATTACAAAGGCAAAGAAAAAAGACTAAAAGAATATGTCCCTACATTTTACAGTATATCTCTCTAGATAGTTAATTAGAGATTTTATATATGTGTGTGGTTACTTTATACTTTCTTTTGGAGAAAAAAGTGGTTAATTTAATTTTTTAAATTTTAAAAAATAAAAGAAAAATAACTATTAAGAAAAATTAAGGAAAAACAATCTCAGGGCAGGTGAAGTGGCTTACACCTGTAATCCTACCACTTTGGGAGCCCAAGGCAGGAGGACAGCTTGAGGCCAGGCATTAGAGATCAACTTGAGCAACATAAAGACCCTGTCTCTACAAAAAGTAGAAAAATTAGCCAGGCATGGTGGCATGTGCTTGTAGTTTCAGCTACTTGGGAAGCTCAGGCAGGAGGATTCCTTGAGCCAAAGAGTTTGAAGTTGCAGTGAGCTATGATAATACCACTGCATTCTAGCCTGAGCAACATAGCAGGACTCTGTCAGAAAGGAAGGAAGGAAGGGAAGGAAACAAAGGAAGGGATAAAGAAAGGAGAGGAAGGGAAGGGAGAAAGGGAGGAAAGGAAGGAAGAAAGGAAAGATGGAGGGAGGGAGGGAGGGAAAGAAGGAGGAAAGGAGGAAATCTCACAGTCCTACTAGTTTTCCTTAGTTCTCCTATTCAACTTTTGCCACAAGTATGAGAAGACTGAGTGACAAGACAGAATATGATGCTTGGTGGTGCTAAATATAGTAAGTTACATTCTTGAACGCTATATAACAACATTGTTTCTCAAGCACCTCATATGTACTATGTCTTGTACATCATAGGAGCTCAGTAATGATTTACTCTTCTGATTTATTCTTCATTTCGATTTTCTCTTTTCCCTTAATTTGCTAGAAGATGGAGCTTTGTATCTACTGAAACAGGAAATTGCCTGACAGCAAACACTTGAGGCAACAGATACCTAAACTGAAATCTGATTCTCAGCACTCATAGCTGAAATTATATTTTACTGTAAGCATTTTGAAAAATGGTACAAGAATACCATGCAAACAGTACAAGAATCCTAGCGGTTCTTTTTAAAAATATAAATGTATCCAAATTGTCCTAGGACAATACAATAACATTGTTTATAAAGTACTCATAGAATCATTTAAAATGTGCTCTTCTATGCCCTAGCTTAGAAAGAAATACAGAAATCATTTAAAATATCTTAAATCTACAGAAATTTAATTCACAAACATTTTTATAAATTAATTTAGAACAAGTGGATGTAAATGACCAGCTCATATACGCTTTCTGTACAAAGTATTATGGCTGTAATAAAATAAGCAGGCAAACAGAGTGCATTTTGCAAAGTCAATAAGCCAATTTGAGAACTAGAACTCTTAAATTAAGAAGAATTAGGTAATCACACATACAAAAACCCTAAAAAATGCAGTAAGTTGTACTCTGGTTTTATTAATAACTCACTCTTTCTCTGTGCATTACTCTTTAATATTGGTTTGTTGTTTTAATAAAAAATTAAGGGGGTTGTGTTTTAGCTTAGTTCAATTTAAATGAGCAGAAAGTATCTCAATATCCACCTGACTATATTACCACCTGACTATAATCAAGGTACTCAAGAAAATCTAAACCAACTTTAAGAAACAAATTTTTAGAACAATACATGTATTAAGTGCATAGACGGTGTGGCCTTTTAAGTTTCAGCTTAAAGAGGAACCATAAATATTCTCTACCTATAAGATCTCATGTAATTTAAGAGCTGGAAGAATCACAGAAGTAATCTAATTCATCACTCTCATGGGATAAATATGAAAACTGATGTTCAGAGAAGTTAGTGATGTGCCAAAGGCTGCATGGTGAGTTAGCAGATTAGGGAAAGAACTCAGGTATTGTGCTCTCCAGCTCCATGTTCTTTGATTATATCAGACTACTGCTAATAAACAACAATACAAGAAAGGGGGAGAAAAGGAGGGAAAGACAGAGGAAAGGAAATCTAAGATTCCTACTATACTTGGGCATTTAAAGATGTATTTACTCTAAAAGATACGTTGCATAAAATAATAAAGTCTACATATACATAAAATACGAAGATTTTATATGTGTATGTATGTCTGTGTGTGTATCTTGAAGAGGAAATAAAAGGACCTACCAGGAAAATAGCTATTATAAAAAATTTAATAGCTACTATAGACATTATAGAAATTTAAGAGTATTATATTTAACAGAATGAAAAGTTTTTATATCCAGGAAAAAAAATTTTGTTTCTTCAGTGACTACCCTTGAGTTTTCAAAACAATTAGTTTGGACCTGAAGGTACTCCTGAATTCATAGTCCCTAAAAGGCCCAGGATGGAGATGAAGCTATATTGGTCACGTTGGTGTGGCCTTCATATTCATGGATGGGCCTCCCCTAGACTACCCTAAACATGAGGTAGTTCCCTGGGCTCTGACACACTCCTAGTTGTTTCCAAAATCATAAAAAGAAAAATGCCTTTCATGACAGCCAGTAAACTGACATACTTGATAATGTATTTTTACCTTGATTTTTCTATTACATGATAAGAATCATTTAATTATAGCCTAGATCTATGGACAGCTAAAAAGTAGCTGCTTGCAGGGGCCCTCAAGTTAATTTAATACAAGTATTAGATTATTACATAAGAAATGTCCAATTTCCATAAGTATTAAGTCTGTCTCTGACATTTTGCTTTGACACTTCTTGTTTTATTTTTACATTGTGAAGGTACATCCTCATTCTTTCAAATGCACATTTTGGCTTGTGATTATCTTTCAAAAATTTTTTAGAGAAATTTCTGTGAAATCCTGTATAAGTCAAAAATTGGTGTTATTTTTAATATGAGTTCCATCATGGAACCAATGAAGTTAAGACAGCTCAAAATATCAACAAGTTTTTAGGAAGGATGTGGCTAATGATGCATAGTATGATTTATGGTTTGAGATGTTCTATTCTGGAGACTTTAATCTTGAAAATGAGGCACATAGGCAATCTGAGACCAAGGTGGATAATGAAAGCTGTAGTAGAAGCAAATCCATCTCAACCCATATATGATTAGCAACCAGGTTTGACGTTACCATTCCAACACTACTAGATGATTTGAAACAAACTGATAAGGCAAAGAAGCTGGAATAGATGGGTTCTGCATAAACTAAGTGAGTATCAGAAGAAAAAATCTTCTCCAAGCTTGCCTTTCCTTGATGTCACAACATAAAAGCAAACCATTCTATACCATATTGTTATGTGTGATGAGAAATGGATTCTTTTTGACGATTACAAGTATTTAGCATAATGGTTGGATAAAGACGCAATGCTGAACACAGTCCAATACTGAATATTCATCAAACAAAGCTAATGGTGTTTGTCTGGTGGTCCAGTGCAGGTATTATCCACTATAGCTTCATGAACTCTAGTCAATCAATTAAGCAGATGTCTACTGCAACCAAATGGACCACATGATGAGGATACTTATGGTTAAGTAGCCAAGACTGGTCATTAGAGACAGGCCAATCCTCCTGCAAAACAACAATGTTGCACAAACAATGCTGTTCAAACCACAGAAGCTGGACTTGGAAATTCTCTCTTAACCACCATGTTCAACAGCCCTTGCACCAACTGACTACCATATCCCCCAGGCTTTGGACCAGGTCTTCCAAGGAAAGCATTCAATTCTCAACAAGCTGTGGGAGACATCTTTTACAATTTTGCCACTTGCTCTCCAGACTTCCTCGCTGCTGGGATACACAAGGTACCATAAAGATGCAAAACTGCCAATAGTTTTGACACACTTTGATTAACTATACTGCTTCAAGCAATATTTTTTGCTCAAGATAGTATATTAAATATCTAATATATGCAAGGTACATAAGTTTACCTTTCCAACTATTTATATTCCCTTTTCTTCTCTTTCCATGTTTTCAACTCTAATAAGTAAGCTAATTTAAACACTGCCTCCCTTCTCAGTCCTGCTATATAGTGAGCTATTCGTGTCTTATTGCCAATTGCATCTGGGGAAGATGAATCCTAGGAAAGAAAAGCACAACAGAAGACTAATGGAAGATATATATTTTTTGCTTTTAAATAAATCAATTTTATTTTGAAGTTCTTTTAATCATATTGATTTTATTTCACAATCACCTACATTTATACCTCTCTACTAGTATCTTGACTAAAACGACAATTCTTCTTGTGGAGTTTATTTATACCGAAGTTTTTCATTTACTAGTATCAGAATCACAATGCTTTAAAAAACAGAAAATCACAATATTTTCTTTGCAACCAAATAGATTAAGAGATGGGAAAGCTCCTCTACTTTAGTTTTATATATGACTAAATTCTCAGTACCTCTTGAAAGTCATCTGTTACTGAAAAAACATTAGGCCCTTTATTAGATCTTCCTCCACGGTCTTTTCTTTTGATTTTCTTCAGCAAACCACGTCCACGACTGACATTAAAGCTTTTAACCCTTTGTTCAATACCTAAAAAAGTTAAAACGTATTTCAAATATTACAGAAAAACAGCATACCTGTCAATCTATTAGCTTACAAGAAACAGCATATTTTAATAGTTTATAATGTACAATGTCTTCTTTTTTCCTCTTTAGATTCAAAGAAAAAGTTAATAAAATCTTGACATTTTACTTCCTGACTACTACTTCTTGTTCCTTTATTTCTTAAGGGATATTAAAAACATAGGAAGGCAAGGAACAAGAATATGCATAATTAGAGATACCAAATCCAGTTTTATTCATTTTAATTTTCCTTAGGATAAGATCATTAACAAATGTTTCTGCTTTCAAGAGAATTAAACATTATATTCCTATTTAAGAAAGGTATTAGTTAATTTGTAGCTAATTAAATTTCTCTTGATAATTTTGAGTAGTTATATACACATTTCTCCAAGTAAATGTTGTACTTGTTTTTTGCTTTTGACTAATGTGGTATTTCAAAGTTATTTAAAAAGATACTCCAATACAAAAGTTATGTATTTAGGGTAATAAGTTAAAATACAAAGTAATTTCTTATTTTACTGAGAAATTTTAGATTACTGAAACCACTAATTACTACCTTAAAACCTATAAAAATAGCCAATGAATAGGTGAAAAAATGTCTCAACTCATTAAAAGAAATCAAAATTTTAAAAATAACATATCAACCAACTATCACCTCAAGGAATATTAAACTCATTGTTGATAAGTATTAGAGAAACTGGCATTTTAACACACTGGCAGGGGGATTATAAATTGGTGCAATTCTTTTTCAGGTATCAACTTGGTATATCAATCAAACATCTTCGAATGTGTGACTATGTCTTGTGACCTGGTAATTCTACTTTTCAGACTTTATCTTTAAGAAAAATGTTTGCGGCTCGGCACCTGTGGCTCAAGTGGCTAGGGCGCCAGCCACATACACCAAAGGTGGTGGGTTCAAGTCCAGCCCAGGCCCGCCAAACAACAATGATGGCTGCAACCAATAAAAATAGCCAGGCCTTGTGGCGGGTGCCTGTGGGCCCAGCTACTTGGGAGGTGGAGGCAGGAGACTCGCTTGAGCCCAGGAGTTGGAGGTTGCTGTGAGCTGTGATGCCATGGTACTCTACCCAGGGGGACAGCTTGGGGCTCTGTCTCAAAAAAAAAGTTTGCCTAGACGTTTTCTGATATATGAATATGTTTATTGCTGGGTCACAGAACTGAAAAAAAACTAGAGGTAACGTAAATCTCAAATTATTATTACCAAACAAACCTAACAATTTAAGAAAAATTATAGTACATTTATTTAATTAATCAGAATGTAGATATTAAAAGCTGTTCATTAATGTAAGAGTGACCAAGATACAATTCATAGTTAAGGGAGAAAAATCAAGTTATAACAATATGTTTATAGTTTTTATTGAAGATAATGGCCAGAAAAATTCTGGAAGAATGTACCAAAAAACATTAGTAATTATTATCTCTGGGTGGTAGAGATTCAAATTCTTTTTGTTTTATCTTTGATTCTTGCTGAGTTATCTTTTATACACACTAGAAAAGTTTTCTGCATTTGACCTTGTATTATTTTCATAACTCAGGGAGAAAATAATGTCAAAAATAAAATGCAATACTCAATTCTTTAAAAGGACAAACAAGTAAGAGCTAGAAAAGAAAAACCCCAGGTGGGGTTGAACAAGGTCTGTCTCTATTACCCCTATTCTCTAGGTGGGATGATCCTTGATACCACTATGTCTACACTCCAGGCACAAGCTTTCTCACTATAATAGAATACCCGTGGAAAAATTCTTTTTCTTTTATTTCTGCTAAGCCTACATTCCGATTTTTCAAAGGAAATTTACTAGGAAATCAAAAGCCATAGAAATAAACAAATTTACCTAACTGATTCCTTTGTTCAAAGATAATTAAAGGGTTGTTACATAGGGTGTGGCTGCTCACTGCCCACCTTAACATCATTTTGTTCCAGTTTTCTTGAACCAAATATATCTACCAGCCAATAGTTAAGGTTGATTTGACCTTAACTGACCCATAGTTTCTTTACCTGCTGTCAACAGCTAGCAATTTGCCCTGATCTCTCCAGGGACCATGTACTTCAATACAGCAGATAAACAGGTGCCCATTCTAGAAATCTCTTCAGATTATGTTTTTTTTGTTTTTTTTTTTTTGAGACAGAGCCTCTAGCTGTCACCCTGGGTAGAGTGCTGTAACATCACAGCTCACAGCAACCTCCAACTCCTGGGCTCAAGCGATTCTCCTGCCTCCGCCTCCCAAATAGCTGGGACTACAGGTGCCTGCCACAACGCCTGACTATTTTTTTGGTTGCAGCCGTCACTGTTTTTTGGTGGGCCCAGGCTGGATTCAAACCCACCAGTTCGGGTGTATGTGGCTAGCACCTTAGCTGCTTGAGCCACAGGCGCCAAGCCAGATTATGTTTTTATCTCCAATTGTAAAAGATGTCCATAGTCCTATATATATTTGCATAACAAGATGACCACCGTATTTTAAAGCCTAATAAAAGAATAGCTTCCCAGAGTTCTGTCCTTTTTGATCTAAAATATAAAGTGGCCCACTGTATATAGACAACCTACAGATGGGAGGGGAAATTAATAAAGCTATATTACATTCTATCCACATTTAAAATATGAGAATGTCTTTATAACTGACGTATTAAGATACCATGTAGATATAAATATTTGTAGTTTTTTGTTCCCTGCTTTAAAAAATAAAGGAAAATATATTTAGGGACTACAAGAATAAGCTGATCTTGAGAAGGGGATAAGAAATTTCTAAGTTTTTATTCTACAGCTAGCTTTTTAATAAGTTTTTCATGTTCTAAAATAGGTTATAATTTCTAAAACAGCTCATAATTTATAATTATAAACTTACCTTGCTGAAGTCCTTTCATTCTCTGTTTTTTCCCTGGTTCTTTAGAAAATGATGATCCTAAAGTAGTATTTGATGTTTCTTTAGCTTGTCTATATTGTTTTAGCTGACTAGCAAAATCTTCCTCTGTTTCCTGACTGTAGTTACCAAAGTTGTCATCACTGTAGTTCCCGAAGTTGTCATCACTGTAGGTACTGTATTCATCATATTCTTTACTTTTATATTTTTTGTTACGTTGACCCTTCTTTGATGTCATGTAGCTTCCTGATATATGTCCATGCTAAGTAAAAATGGACAATCATTATCAGAGTTTTTCAATTACATATAGCAATTGATAGTAACACAAAACATCTATTTTCCCCCGGGAAGTTGGGAGAAAGAAAGCAAAAAGATAGTTATTAGTTCTGACTCCTGATTAGTACTTATCTGACACCATTTAACATTAAGTTCAAAAAGCTAAATGCTACTCTCATATTATTAAACATTGTAATCTTTATGCTTTAGCTTCTGTTTTCCCTGTCTTAAGTCTCAATATTAATACATACAGAAATACTTAAAAACCCACACCATTGTACGTAAGTTCCTTCTCCAGAAGAATGAAAAGCCTTTTTGAAAATAAGGAAAAGATAGTAAAATAGGTTAGGGGTGGTGATGTGTAGAAAAATATTATTTCTCCTAAAACTGAAAAATTCTCAAATGATATCTTTAATTGTTTTTTAATGTAGAAAATTTTTATCAGGCAGTGCCTGTGGCTCAAAGGAGTAGGGCGCCAGCCCCATATGCCAGAGGTGGCAGGTTCAAACTCAGCCCCAGCCAAGAACTACCAAAAAAAAAGAAAATGTATCTAAGGTCTAAGAGAAACAACAGAGCTTTCCGTAATAGTGAAAAACAACTGTAAATAAATTACTCATTAGAAACTGTTTATTATAATATTAATTTTATAGCTTCTTTACTAAAGCATGTAAAAACAAAGAATACATTTAGTCTTATAAGTTTATTTAATGATACTATTCAAACTGGTTTCTATTTACTTACATATTTGTATTCTATCTGTTATATCCTATATTTTTTTTCATAATAAAGCAAGAAAAAAATGCATGTAATTACAGCTTTAGGATCTAGAAAAACCCAAGCCATGATTCATATGTGGTATTAACCTTAGCACATATAAATATACTTCCCTGGTAAAATATTAACATGAGACTATATATTTTTGATTATTTTGCACAAAAAATTAGAACTTAATTAAATAGATTAAAACACATAACTCATCAAGAAAATTAGTTCACTCATCAATTTTAAATTTTAAAGACACTACCAGATTTCTGATTTTTCAAAGCAGTATTTTTTTTTTGAGACAGAGGCTCAAGCTGTTGCCCTGGGTAGAGTGCCGTGGCAGTGGCATCACAGCTCACAGAACCTCCAACTCCTGGGCTCAAACGATTCTTCTGCCTCTGGCCTCCCAAGTAGCTGGGACTACAGGTGCCTACCACAACATCTGGCTATTTTTGGTGGTTGCAGCTGTCATTGTTTGGTGGGTCCGGGCTAGATTCAAACCCACCAGCTCAGGTGTATGTGGCTGGCGCCTTAGCTGCTTAAGCCACAGGCGCTGAGCCCAAAGCAGTACTTTTTTAAGGTATATAAACCCCATTCTTAGTCTAACACTTCAGAAATTCAGAAGGGGACTTAAGATTGTAACCAATAGGCACTGTTTCCAATATTTTAAAAAGGATACTATGAAGAAGTATGAATCGTATGTATTCAACTCTGATATGAGGACAATTAATGACATGGTGGAATATGGGGGAAGGGGAGACCAGACAGAGAAGGAGGGAGGGGATAAGAAAAAGGAAAAGAAGAAAAAAAAAGAAAAGAAAAGAAAATAGTGACTCATTCTCACATAAACTGGATTTAATTTTGACCAAAGTACATTACTTAAACATTAATTTTTAATTCAATTTGTTAATGTTGTTTAGGATATTGTATCCTCATTTATAAGTATAATATGTTTGTAATTTCCCCTTTATAATAATATATTTTCTCCAATTTTAGTATCAGATGTATCCAGATTAAGTAGAACAATTTTTTTGAGACAGAGTTTCACTTATTAACCCTTGGTAGAGTACTGTGCCGTCACAGCTCACAGTAACCTCCAACTCCTTGGGCTTAGGCGATTCTCCTGCCTCAGCCTCCTGAGTAGCTGGGACTACAGGCGCCCACTATAATGCCTTGCTATTTTTTTGTTGCAGTTTGGCCTGGGCTGAGTTTGAATCTGCCACCCTTGGTATATGAGGCCTGTGCCTTATCCACCGAGCCACAGGTGCCACCCAAGAAGAATGATTTTTGAAGTATTTCTTCTTTTCCTATTGTCTGTAAGAATTTGGCATGATCTGTTTTTTGAAATTATCTTTTACTTTTATTTATAAATATTAGTTGTCTATTTTTTGAGACTTTGGAAAAAAAATAAGTAGTTAACTGATGACTCCATACTAAACCTCAGAGTCAAAGCATTCTATAATAGACATATTCTTATTTGATAATGTGAATGTTACTTTCTTTGCATTATTATTATTACTGTTTAATATTTCAATGCAACAATCATCTGATTTCTTTTCTGAATGTATTTATGTTTGTTCGTTCTTTGCAAGGTTTTTGTTTCTAGTCCTTATCTTAAACATTGTTATTGTTATTCAATATTAAGCCTTTTTAATTTTGTGAAGGCAAAAAGTGGAAACCTAATAATCACATGTATATGTAAAAAAAAAGATACTATGAAAATACAAGCAAAACAAAAAATAACTGATTAGATTAAGTTCAAGATTAATTAAATGATACTTACATTTCCTTTTATTAAAAATGTCATTCCATTAATAGTTCAGTAATATATTCAATGCTTTGTGATGGATGAATATGAATTTTCCTTGACATTAGATGCCTCTCATTAATTTTTAATATTCAATTCTCTGATTTTCATAGCTTTATAAAAATAATCTCTATTTTTTTAAGTAGAATCATGCCTAAACTTTCAATTTGTCTTCTCCCTCATTTTCTCAAATCCAAATAATCCTAATAGTCCCCTAAGGATGCAAACATTCCATCCCAGGGTTCTTTCTGTGGTGAAAAGACTTCTAATATGGACTCCTGAAGTCTTTAACACGCATGTGCGGTGAGCTCTCCAAAGAAGTACCAAATGAATGAAGGGTTACAGAGAAGCTCCACTTTTCTAAAAGAATATCTTCTATGGTTTGCACGTTCATTATTGGAGTGAACAAAATACACTCACCAGCAAGAGTCTAGCAAGCATTTTTCAAGCCCCTCTACTGAGAGAAGATAAAAGAAATAAAAAAGATGATAATTACTAAAAGATAAAGTTTGATTGCTCTGCTGATTGATTATTAGACTGTATAAACTGCCAGAATGTCTAGTAGGAGAAGATTTGGTTTCTATAAAATAACAAGGAGCCCTACACCAATCACTGGAAACATAAAATAAGGGAATGAGGCCCTAAAAGCATGAGGAAAAAGGGAGCTATAATAAGTCCTCTAACTGCTAGATGTTAACAGCATATTCTATTTTTGGCCTGTAATGGTAGAAGTTACATAGCAAATACCTATTATCTAAGAAAATGAGATTTTAAGGATGCAGTTGGCTCGGTGCCTGTGGCTCAAGCAGCTAAGGTGCCAGCCACATACACCAAAGGTGGCGGGTTCGAATCCAGCCCAGGCCCACCAAACAATGATGGCTGCAACCAAAAAATAGCCGGGTGTTGTGGCGGGCACCTGTGGTCCCAGCTACTTGGGAGGTGGAGGCAGGAGACTCGCTTGAGCCCAGGAGTTGGAGGTTGCTGTGAGCTGTGATTTCACAGCACTCTACCCAGGGAGACAGCTTGAGGCTCTGTCTCCAAAAAAAAAAAAGTATGCAGTTAAAATATTTTCTAATTTTCATTGAGTTAACTCTAAAACATATGTGGAGGAAATGGTATCAAACGTTCTCAATTTATAAAGGCAGACTAGGCAAATCAGACCATGTCCCCTAAGAAAAGTAGGAAAGGTAGACAAAATATTTTTCTAAAATCTGCTATAGACATCAGAGAGCTAACAAATTAGTGAGGGATTACTAGACCAATACCCATGAAGCAGAAGAAAATCCTGGGAAGTGAGTAGTATTTGGAGGTACTTTGCTCTAAGACTTCAGCCCAGAAGGAAAAATCAGCAAAAGGCACTTTTGACTTCAACAGTACTTCTGGCTATCTCATTAGTCTATAAGAACAAAAAGTAGAGTCCAGAGTCTGGAGAAGGTGGAACCTTAGTAACCCCACCTCTCAATTATGAGGGGATCTCAAAATACGAATTAGAGACTACAGCTCAGCCTTTAGTCATCTGGGTGGCCCCAAAAAGTCTCAGATCATAAAATTGCAATGAAGTTTGTAAAGGTCAAAAGGATTCTGGCTAAAGCAAGTGGAAATTCTCTCTGAAGGAAAAGAACATTATCCCAAACCTAAAATTATTTCTATAAAATGTATCATATTTTCCAAATACAATGCCCAGCACACAACAGAAAAAACACAAAACAGGCCAGGCATAGTGACTCATTCCTGCAATCCCAGCACTTTGGGAGGCTGAGGCAGGAGGATCACTTGAGGCCAGGAGTTCCTGACCAGCCTAAGCAACATAGCAAGACTTTGTCTCTACAAAAAACAAAGATAAAAAAAGTAGCCAGGCATGGTGGCATACACCTATAATCTCAGCTACCCAGGAGACTGAGACAGGAGGATCACTGAGCTCAGGCATTGAAGACTGCAGTGAGCTATAAGAGTGTCACTGAGCTCCAACCTGGATGACAGAGTGAAACTCTGTATCTAAAAAAAAAAAAAAAAATTAACAAAAAATTAAAAACATTAAAAAAGAAAACCCACAGAATAAAAACAGGCTTATGAGGCGATAAGACCACATGAAAGAGAACAATCAAAAATAATAGGCAGTAGAAATATAGACTCTAGATACTAGAATTTATGTAATGACAGATTTAAAAATATTTGTATTTTGTTATTTTCAAGTATAAGACAATACAAAAATTTCAGAAGGGAACTACATGACTTAGAAAATTTGAAACGAATAAAATAACTTTCTGGATAGGAAAAATATAAGTACTAAAATTAAAATTAATTAATAATTGGGTTTAAAGGCAAATTACCATATTTTGCGATGTAAAATGCTACCCCATGTATAATATACACCCATGTTTTTGGCTCAAACTTTCAGTAAATGCCCCTTGAGAAAGTGGTCAGCTCTCTACTAGGAGAGACACATCTGGGGAGGGCTAACACCTCCCTGGTAGGTACAAATAAATCACATAGCCCTCCTGCACCCACCAGCTCTGTGAAGCCTGCCCTTTCCCTCCTTCCTGAGAGCCCTTCCCTTTCTGGGATGTCAGGGGCTGTGCTGAGATGGCCATGTCCGTAGCTGGTGGGACAGGAGCTTCTGAGGCCACTCAGCCCACGGGCAGCCAGATGAGTCCCTGGGGCCAGTGTAGTCCCTCCCTGTCCTACTCTGCATGGCTGGGCCTTGGGCCTCAGTTATCCGCACTCACACTGCATAACTGCAGCTGTCCCCTCCCCTGATTGTGGTGCTCAATAAAGGCTGGTCCAGCAGCTCCTACCAGATCTCAAATTCTCCTGGACTGGAACATTAGTGCAGTTGGCAGGCCCAAGTCAGACGGGTGTATGTGTGTGTGGCAGCTGCAGGAGGCCCCTTGGGCTATCCCACTCCAGAGCCGTACCACCCATGTTTAATGCACATCCTTACTTTTTCCTCTGAAAATTTGGGCAAAAAGTGTGCATTATTCATGGCAAAATATGGTAGATCTCTCTGAAGAGAGCACAAGAAAAGAGTGATAAAGGATTTAAAAAGCATACGTGGTAAAATGTTAATAATTAGGGAATATGGGTGAAAAATCTATATTTCTTTGAACATTCTTACAACTTTTCTGTAAGTCTGAAATTATGACAAAATAAAAAATTATAAAAAATGAGAGTAAAATATACACATTGCCCAATAAATCAAAGCTAAGTGAATTTACTGACAGCAAACCTGCACTATTAGAAATGCTAAACAAAGGCTGAATGAAGTACCTCAGGTTAAAAAAAAATATTATCACCTTGAAACTTAGATGAAGTTTCTACACAAAGAAATGAAGAGCACTGGAAATGAAATGCAGATAATATAAAAGACCATCCTTTTCCTTAATTTCTTTAACTGATTTTTAAAGCAAAAATAATTTTTATCTATAGGGATATATAAAAGTCAATATTATAGTAATAGTGTATACTTATTAACAGTAAATAACTCCATCTTTAAAAATGAAACACTTAAAACAAATGCATTATTACTTATACAAACTGACCTTATCTTTCACAGTGGTCATACAGAAGGCTAAGTATTTATTACAATAATGCTGTCACTATTTCAAATATTCTGAATCTTTTTTTCTGGAGATATTTTAATAAAACCTCATTTATTTAATGGTCACTTAGCAAACTCAACTATAAAGTTGACAACAGAACGTCAGACTATAGAAATAACTCTAACAAAAATAGTAATTTGGTTTCTAAACTCATAAGAGATTAGAATACCCAATTAGGAGAAAGAACAGGGCTCTTGTAGATAAGAATAGTGAAAGGCAAAAACCAGAACTCAGAATCTCTGGGGCTTTTCATGTAAGTGCACGTCATTGACCTGAATATTTCCCAGTGCTTCTGAGAGAATCATTATTTCCCCAGAACAAAATACTGTGTATTTGGAGATAGGGCTTTTAATGAGGTGATTAAGTTAAAACAGGCTGTTTGAGTGAATTCTAATCCAATTTGATTAGTGTCCTTACAGAAAGAAGAAATGTGGACACACAGAGAGACACTAGGAGTTCTTGTGCACAGAGAAATGACCATGTGAGGACAAAGAAGTGAAATTGAGGCCATCTACAAACCAAGAAGAGCAGATTCTTCCCTAACATTCCCTCAGAGAAAATCAACCTGCTGGCAGCTTTATCTTTGACTTTTAGCTAGCCTCCAGAAAGTGAGAAAATAAATTTGTTGTTTAAGCTACCTAGTCTGTGGTAATTTGTTTTATCAGCTTTAGCAAACTAACATATATTCTTTGTTTTCAAAGGCTTGAAATTTGTAGCAAATGTCTGATAAAACATTTTTTTCAAAAAAATCAGAAAGCAAAGAAAAAAACTGGAAGTTTATTTTTCTCTTTAAAAGGCAATACCTCAAAACCACAATGCGATCCCACTTCACATCCACTTTCTATTTCAAAAAATAGTGTTGGCAAGGATCTGGAGAAATTGGAACTCTTAAGCATTACTAGTGTGAATGTAAAATGGTAACAGCCCTGTGGAAAACAGTTTGACAATTCCTTAGAAAGTTAAACACTGAATTAACTATATAAACCACCAAATTGAAAAAAAGGGTCTCGAAGAGCTATTTGTACACCCATGTCATAAGCAGCATTATTCAGTAGCCAAAAGGTGGAAGCTACCCAGGTGTCTATCAACAGATGAATGGCTAAACAAAATGTGGTACATACATAAAATGGAATTCTTCATTCCTTTTCTAAGGAATGAAATTCTGACACATGCTATAATATAGATAAACCCTGCAAATCTGCTAAGTGAAACAAAGGACAAAGACTGTATGGCTCCACTTATGTGAGGGACCTACCCTAGAATAGGCAAGTTCATAGAGATAGAAAGTAGAACAGTAGTTACCAGGGGCCAGGGGCAGGTGAAAATGGGGTGTTATTGATTAGTGAGTACAGAGTTTCTGTTTAGGATGATCAAAGAATTCTGGAAATGGGTAAGTGGTGATGGCTACACAACACTGTGAACATACACAATACCATTAAACTGTAGATTTAATAAGTATTACAGTGGTAGATTTTATATTATATATGTTTTATCAAGATATAAAAAAAAAAGGCAATACCTGAGGAAATGGAATGTCATAATCCCTGTAGAAACCAGTTCTCTTTTTGTGGGAACTTTCTATATGCTCGATGTCTGAATCAAGGCTATAGTCTGAACTATCATCACTAGATGGAGAATTATGCTAAAGGAAGAAAAAAGACATAAATATGTTAATTTGTAAAGGAAAGGAAAAACAATTTTTTTTCTGAGACAAAGTCTCACTATGTCACCCTCAGTAGAGTGCCGTGGCATCACAGCTCACAGGAACCTCAAACTCTTGGACTTAAGCGATTCTCTTGCCTCAGCCTCCCAGGTAGCTGGAACTATGGGCACCTGCCACAACACCTGGCTATTTTTTGTTGCTGTTGTTGTCATTGTGGTTTTAGCAGGCCAAGGCTGGGTTCAAACCGGCCAGCCTTGGTGTAGGTGGCCGGCACCCTAACCACTGAGCTACCAGCACCAAGCCAATGAACAAAAATTTAACAGTAAATAGCTAAGCCTGTAAGAGGAGCCAACCAGTAAATTACATTATTCTAGTAGTCCCTGAAGTATTACTGAAAAATTCTTGCTCCAAAAGCCACCATCACTCCAAGTTCTCTAAAGTTTTCTGGGGAAAGTGTAGCTTCCCTCTGATCAGGGATTTATGACAGCATTGTCGTCAAAATCCCTTTGGCTCAAAAAGAAAAAATGTGACCCTGTGCTCTAAAATGATCTTATGTTTTTGCTAATCCTAAAGGAAGCAAAATTGGCTCCTAATCACCAGAAAGCATACTAGTACATGAAGAGAGTAGGTATTAATTTATTTTTACTTAAAATGGCTTTGGAGTTATTATTGTATTGCATAAGTACACTAAAACTAAAAGATACCAAAACATTCCAGATTACAAATATGAAATAAATCCAGCCCATAAAATTGAATAAAAGTCAAATGAAAACCACAAGTAATTGGGAAAGAGGATGATCTGTTTTTCCCTATGTCATTCTTTTTTTGTTTGTTTTCTTGAGACAGTTTTACTTTGTCACCCTTGGTAGAGTGCCATGGCCTCCTAACTCACAGCAACCTCAAACTCCTGGGCTCAAGTAATTCATTTGCCTTAGCCTCTTGAGTAATCTATGCCATTCTTAAATTTGTCTTTTATGGAAAATGAACTGCTTTCTTCCATTTTGATCCTAAATGGAGTTTGGTTTTGTGGTGTTATCAGTTTTGTTTTGTTGATTTGGTAAGTGATATGAAGAAATCTTTTTATAATTATGCTTTCAAATGCTCCGACTTTAAGTTCCTAATCTTTGTTGGTTAGGGTTTAAAGCAAATACTGTCCATTAAAAAATCAAGTACCAATACGCTCAGTCACTATCAGAAGTCAGCTCTAACCTCAAGGAAAATCTTTCACTTGAAAAAAACTTAAGGGACAAGACTTATTTAGATGAATTTCAAGGGAAGATACTGCCTCAGGAAAAACAATCAGCAAAGAGAAGATTCTATATAACAGAAAGGTTCTTTAGCTATTAAAAAAATAAATAAATAAAAGGAAGAAAGAGGCCAGTACATATACACTGTGTGGCTCACATATAGTAATAATAAGCAAAATAAGGCTCAGTGCCTGTGGCTCAAGCAGCTAAGGCACCAGCCACCTATACCTGAGCTGGTGGATTTGAATCCAACCTGGGCCGCCAAACAATGATGGCTACAACCAAAAAATAGCTGGGCGTTGTGGTGGGTACCTGTAGTCCCACCTACTTAGGAGGCTGATGCAAGAGAATAGCTTGAGCCCAGGAGTTGGAGGTTGCTGTGAGCTATTATGCCATAACACTGTACCTAGGGTGACAACTTGAGGCTCTGTCTCAAATAGTAATAATAATAATGATAAGCAAAGTAAATTTGACCTGAAATTGGCAGTTGAACTATTAAAAAGTCATCAAAAAATTAGGTGAAAAAGGCTCGACACCTATAGCTTAGCGACTAGGGCACCAGCCACATATACCAGAGCTGGTGGGTTTGAATCCTGCTCATGGCCTGCCGAACAACAATGACAACTACAGCAACAACAAAGTAGCTGGGCATTGTTGCGGGGTGCCTGTGGTTCCAGCTACTTGGGAGGCTGAGGCAAGAGAATCACTTGAGCCCAGAAGTTTGAGGTTGCTGTGAGCTGTGATGATGCCACAGCACTCTACCAAGGCCAACACAACGAGATTTTATCTCAAATATATATATATTAGGTGAAATATATATCTCAATATATCTCAAATATATATATATTAGGTAAAAAATATTCTTTGAGAATTTTTGTTTCCTTTTGTGCCTCCCTTTTCTGGGGGGTGGAGGTATTAGTTTAATTGTTTACAGTTTGAAAGTTTTGCTTTTAATTTTTGTTATTTTATCTATAATACACTGTTGGATTTTTCCCTTCAATATACTCTGTTGGTTTAAAGTTCACATCTAAATTATTATGTTTTCTATAGAACTTTTAAATAGCATCACAGCACAGTGTGGTGAGTACAGAGAGCAAAAGATACATAATCCAAGACTAATTAAAAGGAAAGTCACATACTGACTCTTTAAATATTCAATTGTAACAGAAAAAATTTAAAGATTTAGGTAACTTCCTCCAAATATGCTCTGTGTTTTTTTGAGCAGCTGATTCCTACCTGTCCTTCAAGATTTACTAAAGAGCCTCTGAATTCCTTCCCCCCAAAATTCTAATATTAGGGAAGCAGTCTGAGAAAACTACTCAGCTGCAAATTCATATTACCTGTCATTAAAAAGAAAGGATAACTCAGCAGGCAGAACCAATAGCCCAAAGGGTAGATCTAAGAACTATGGAGAATTACTCCCATATCTTTGAAACCTAATCAAGAAAAAAACATGAGAACACTGAAGTAGCCTTTGGAGAAGCCCATGTGACAAGAAATAACCTGAATTTTGAAGGTTTGAAAAAATGTGACCCTTGTGTTTCTCAGTAGGAAAGATTATAGAATCTATTCTCCAAAAAGTCTCTTAAGACTCTTGACTCTTTGGGATTTATTTTGTTGGGTAGTATTTTTCTAGAAAATTATCCATTTCACCTTGGTTTTTATATTCATTTCCATAAAATTATTTATATAAATAAATTTCTTATGGTTTTACTTTTTTATTTTATTTGTTATTTATTTATTTTTTGAGACAGAGTCTCACTATGTCACCCTCGGTAGAGTGCTGTGGCATCACAGCTAACAGCAACCTCCAACTCTTGGGGTTAAGTGATTCTTTTGCCTCAGCT